GACTGGACTCGGGAGAAAAATAGTCCTGAAAGCGAGCTGTGAGCCTCTACTCTGAATTATCTGGTGAATTGACATGCTCTTGCTCTCTGTAAATAAAGCAAAGCCACTTCCTCGTCCGACATTAAACAGAGCCCGACAGAGGAGGGAGGGGCGGGGAGGCTCTTGCCGTGCAGCGCTTCAAGAGCTGACCTGCGTGTGACCTCAAAGTGCACAAGCTTCAAACTTCAGCGTTGGCTGCGATTTTGAAGCTGAAATCGCGTTCGGTGTGAACGCAGCATAAGGCTGAAGACATATGTAGAAAAAAACAAAAACTGTTGACTGTTGTTATACATGGTCACAGAATATGACAGCTGTCACATATTGTGACTTCACTGTGGCTAAGGAAATAGTAAAAAAATTTATTTCAAAACTATTTATACTAATTGTTTGCATCCTCTAGTGTCAGAAAAATAACTTTTGATCACTGACATGGTGACTGTTATTAAATTAGTACAGGGTCACATAATATGATAGCTATTATCGCGTAGAGTAGTAATAATAGTAGTAGTAATAGTCAACATGCCAGTGATCAAGTTATTTTTCTGACATTAGAGGATTTATACAATGAGTTTATGAATAAATATTTTTATTATTTACTAAGCTACAGTGAAGTGACAATCTCTGACAACAGTTGTCATATTTTGTGACCTCTGGGTTGCACTTTTGGCGTTATCATATTCTTCTTTGTGGCTATTTTCGTCCAAGTTTTGTTGTAGAAACACAACAACGTGGCCTCTGGTCACAATATATGACAGTCACAAAATATGGTGTAACACCTGCATAGTTTTGTTAGTTTTTTTTTATTTTAAAGCGATGTTTTGTCCTTATCAGATAATATATTAGATACTAGCTTTTGATAACTGAAAGAACGTCACTTTAAAAATGACCAGACTGTTCCTTTAATGACACTTTTAATAGGTCACTAAATATGAGATAAAATGTGTCACATTTACAAATAAAAACTTAAATCAAAGTTACACAAACATTGTTACGAGCTACTTTCTCCACTGTTTTGTTTGAAGTTACTAGTTTTTTATTCACAAGTACCAATGTCACTGATTCTATTCTATTCTATTTTTTTTTTTTTTACAATTATTAAAGAATTTCAGCAAATATGTTTTGTCTCATTAACTTAGTCGGTACAACTGAAGATGGCTGCCTCAACTAATTGTAATTTATCCACACAACAATGACTGTAATGTTGAGATTTTGACAGTTAAATCCTGAAGTGGTAATAGCTCAGACGCAACATTGTGTGTGTAATATGGAGATTTGATCATTTTGACCAAAACGGCTACAACTCTGTCATTTCTTACCTTAAGATGACCTAAAACTCTAACACAAAAGGTGACAGCATATACTCATGGAATGCTGGGCTTAAAATCTTTTTATTTTATTTTAATTTTTTTTGCATTACGTTATGTGAATAATTTTAATTTTTGTTTTCTTAATTTGCCTCTTTCGCAGTGATGCTCCTGAAAATTACAAATTTAAATATTAATTTTGACTTTTTAAATGTTTTTATTTTACTGATACTTCGTTGATCTGCTTTAAAATCCTGCATTCCTAATTTCTGAGATGTTGTCGGGTCTAGACATAAATTTGATGACAAGTTGCTTGCAATAAAAAAAAGTTTTACCTGAAAAAATAATTCACACTAATTTCAGCGACTTAATGTTGGAACACACTGTACCAGAGTTCCAGTAGACTTTTATGTAAAACATGGGAATGGTTTGAGTGCAATAAAGTTTGTTATTTTATGATTTTTCACTGGTAAAATGGGGGAAAACATTTATCCAATGTTGGAAAACAAAATAAGTCATTATGTCAACAAAATGTCAAGTAAAACTTACAACGTATGATTGTGAAGACAAAAGATTTGGAGATCGTTTGTGCACACTTATTAGTGAAATTGCACGATGCTTCTGCTTTCGTTGAAATTTGAGCATTTCCACAGGAAATAACTTTCTGAGCAGTGTACGTGTATGTTCGGTCACCTGCAACAAACACTTGCATGTTAGATGTTGAAAAGACAAGTCTGCACAAAAATTCATTAAAGGAGATAAATGACTCAACGAGAATATTCTTACCAAACGTATTTCTCCCTGCTGAAGCATACTCTGACCATGTCACAGTGTAATTTTCACTGGTTTTGTCTATTTCACAGATGATGGTTACCAACAGAACATCGTCAGCAGATTTACAGCGTGGATATGCTGTATTTGTGGAGTTTCTAATCTTTGGTATTAGGCATATGTTCATTGTAGCATTAGCTGTGTGATATATAGTTACTGATGAATTTTGTTGTACAAAGAGACATATGTACACTCCTGAAGAAAGAAAAAACAAAACACAAAGACAGTTAAGGTTACTAAATGAACCACATATTGATAAAGTTGATCACAATATTCTATGACAGAGATTTGAAGATGATATTGGGATTACAGGATCAGATCTAAAATTGCTTAGGACATATTTATTTAATAGATTCCAGTTTGTAAATGTTGATAATTTCTTTTTACATAAAATTAGTCATGGAGTTCAGTTTTTGGACTGCCTTCATTGGGTAAAGTATGACAGAGTGTTGGGGCCAGGCTAAGAAGTTTTTTTAATTATGAGAATATTTACAATATTAATAAAGTCAAAATATTACCAGAATAAAGTCATAATAATATGAAAATAAAGACAAAATATTACCAGAATAAAGTCATAATAATATGAAAATAAAGACAAAATATTACCAGAATAAAGTYGTAATAATATGAAAATAAAGACAAAATATTACCAGAATAAAGTCATAATAATATGAAAATAAAGACAAAATATTACCAGAATAAAGTCGTAATAATATGAAAATAAAGACACAATATTACCAGAATAAAGATGTAATAATACAAGAATATTGACAGGATAAAGCCAAAATATTACAAGAATAAAGTCATAATATTACCAGAATAATGTCGTAATAATATGAAAATAAAGACAAAATGTTACCACAATAAAGATTTAATAATACGAGAATATTGACAGAATAAAGTCAAAATATTACAAGAAAAAAAGTCATAATAGTCTGAGAACCCCTACATGAAAAAGCACTTTGTTAACAGGAATGTTGAACATCTTGTGGTATCTGTTTTACAAATCTAAAAATCTTTGAACACATTAGCATCAAATTATTATTAGTAGCAGGACTTCAGTGCAGTCTTTTGCATTATAATATTGACGTAAAATCACTAAAATTAGGAACATCTTGTCCAAAAATGATGCAGAAAAATTGATCCTTGCATTTATCATGTCTAGGCTGGACGACTGTAACTCTTTCTTATCTGTGTATCCAAAAAAAGCTCTTTAAGAAGTCTTCAGTTGATCCAAAATGTCAGGAAATATTTGAACTTTTGTCCAGAAGACTTCTTCAGTCTGAGGAGCTGCAGGTAAGCGCAGCCTTATAAGCAGTACCTTCACATACTGGATCAACCAGTTTACTGGTGACACCCTAAACTGGTAATTCACCTGCTAAAGGAATAATGTGGAAATACTAACTTGTTCTTCGTAAAAAATCAGGTAAAAAGGAGGACCCCAATATCCAGAGTGGGAGTTTCAGAGAAACAGACATTAATTCTCTCAACATGACGTCCCAGTGGCTTTCAACCCTCAAAACACATTATAGAAAAGACTGGTTCACCCCAAATATCCAGTCCCCTGGCACAAACAGTGTAGTGTATGTGTAGGAATCACTCCATGAAATTAGGACCAGCCTATTTTCATAAAGATAATCCAGCAAGACCTTGCAAAAAATGAAATCAGACTTTAATGWAAYACCCCTCTGACAATGAAGTGAAAAATGAAAACTTGTGACCTGGTCAGGTTTCTCAAAATAAAGTAATTTATTTTAGACACATGAACAGAATAAACATACAAANGTCCTATTCACTTAAAGAAAATAAAAACACTTTAAAATGATTTTCTTCTTATAAGTGTAAAAAATAAAATCAAAGACAAAGAAAAAAACAATAGAAAAGTTTTTTTTCACCAGGGTTACCTCTACATATGCTAAGTGCCAAGATGACTGTGACCATCGGGGAACAAAGCAGCCACAGTTCAAAAGAATGAGCCAACACAGAAGTAAAACATCATCAGACCAGGACTCTGCAGTGTACACTCATCTGCAGGCCAGTGGCCGGATTTATAAAGCCTGCGTACGCACAAAACGATCCCAGAAACTTGCATATGCCACTGAGGTGTAGCTGTGATGCCTTAAAGAAAATTGCTTGAAGATGTGCACGGTTTTCCATCCATCCATCCATCCATTTTCTGTACACGCTTCTTCCTTTTCAGGGTCGCGTGGGTCACTGGTGCCCATATCCAGCAGTCACAGTGCGAGGGGCAGGGTACACCCTGGACAGGTCGCAAGTCCATCACAGGTGCACGGTTTTATAAATCTGAATTATTTTTTTGGCATGCGCCATTTTCACCTTTACATTCAGTTTTAGTATGGTTTCTATGCAATCCTTTATAAATGAGCTCCCTGGACTCTGCATTTTACACTCATTTAGAGACCTGGGGTCGGATTTATAAAACTGGCGCAATTTGAGCCCAGAAACTTGCGTACGCCACTTTTCATGCAAAGGTTGTGATTTATAAAATCCAAACTTGACGTGAAAATGTGCGGTGCCTCACAGCTCTGAGCCATGCTACGCTCATTTTGGAGACGTGAAACTGCGACACAGATGGTGAAGTGAGGAATTAGAGCCACACTGTGTAATGATCACTGTCAGATATTTAATTTACCTTCAGAATCAGACTTAGATTTTTATTCATCTTTATCATCAGCTTTCTTAACAGTAATATTTATGCTTCTGCTGCTGCTGCTGCTGAGCCATGAGGACCTTTGAAATAAATAACTTAAATCTTCACGCATCTCCCTTCATCTCCTTCCTCCTCAGACGACCCTGACCCACAGACCCCTCCCCGACAAGACACATTTCAACAGCACAACAGAAAAGTCATGCTTTGGGTACTTGCAGGGCGTGCCCACCCTCACCAGTGTGAATGTTATAAAAAGTTCACTTATTAAAGTCTGTATTTGTCACTGTGCTGGGCTGTGGGGATGTGAGGGGGTGAGGAAAGGGTCAGCTGCAGATAACAGAGCAGGCAGGAGGGGGAGTACGGGTGAGAAGATTGATGAACTTATTTGTAACTTTATCTGACTTACTTAATTTTATTTATTGTTTTATCGTCCTGCAGGTTCTGAGAGAAAATTAATTTGAAGCTGAGTTTTTGATTTCTCTAAACGTCTGTAAACCTGCAAAATGAGGGAAAATCTGTTTCAATTGCAGAAAATTTGTTCACGTGAGCAGCTGTCAGCACCTGTCATCCTCCAGACGCACGTCGGAGCCAACGTGTTCTCATGCCCCCCGCGCCAACATATTGATGCTTGGTCAGGTAGCCATCTGTGTCCACATTCGGACACGCCGGATACCCCCCGCGCGTCCTTTCTTTACGAGATGAGGCGGAGAAGGTCGAGCGCATTGTCATATTTTTTACAAGAGTAGGAAATGCACGAAACAAACCATCCCAGATCCTAAATTTAACTTCTATTAGCCTTATACAGCCTATCCCTGACCCCAGTATCTCAAATTAACCTTTAATCTTGATCCCTCATGTTAACCTCAGACCCCCGACCCAAAGAGCCCTAAGTGACGCAACCCTTAAAAGCCGCGAGCAGCAAGGACGGACGCGCGGGGGTTACCTGGCGTGTCGAAACTGGACGCAGACGGTCCCTGCCCAAGCGTCAATATGTTGACGAGTCCGTCATGAGAATGTGTTAACGGAACATGTCTGAGTCGGCCAATCACTTTTTTTGACGTTGATCCGCTGACTGATTTAAATACATCTTAACATTCATGAGGTACTTTACATTGACTGTTTATGGTTGAGTGTGGGCGTGTAGAGGGTAGAACCTGAGGAGGACCTCGTGCGCAAACTCTGACATGAAGCTGTGATCTAAAAAGGGAAGGTGTGAAGAAACATGCGTACGCATGGATTTATAAATCAGATTTTTTTTGGCGTACGCCATTTTCACCTTTTGGCCGTACGTTCACTTTTAGTAAGGTTTCCACGCAATCCTTTATAAATCTGACCCCAGGGGCCTCATTTATAAAGGACTGCAGAGACCATACTAAAAATGAACGGACGGCCAAAGTGACAAGTGATATCTATCCCTTTAAGAAGTGCTCAGATGTTTACTTAAAATATTCAATTAATTTTCAGTAATAATCTTTGATCAGTCTATTCTCCTGCTTGTGAAGATGATCTTGGTTGTAAAGTATACCTTCCCAGAGTTCATCAACTTGCTGGAGCGTAACTGTGCTCTGTTTTTGTTGGGTTGACACAGTTGAGACGGTCCCATTAGTGATGAGAAAGACGCCATTGCCATTATTTATATTCCACAGGGGTTGAGCTCCCAGGTCCTCCTTCGTTTTACAGTTAACGGTGGCGTCGGTATGATAATGCACCAACCCACTCGGCACTGTTACTTCGACAAGTCCTGTGCAAACAAAGACCAAATTAGCAGAGAGAAGATGGAGAAGAATCTGTTGCCACAGGTCACCTACCTGTCGTCTGCAGTTCAAATGAGCCATTAAGTATTTTACTGAGCTCTATTGATCTGTCAATCAGATCCTGAGGCTTCAGGTTGGAGACAATCGTGATCCCAAAACTTACAATAATGCTTCCAAGACTTTAGTCAAGAAAAAAAAAACTTTGTTAAAAAGTGAAAGTAGATGTCTGTAGAAAGATGTTAATTTCTTAATTTTTTTAAAATTCCAACAGCTACCTGTATGCGTTGATTGTTAAAGTGTCAAATCCTTCGATGGTTGTGTAAACCTTCTTTATCTAAGACAAGAATAAGTCAGTTAGTTTCATTAGTCCTCTTTATGGAAAATAGATTAATAATTGATAAAATGTTGTATTTTACCTGCTCTATCATGTTTTTGTTGCACGTCTGAAAACTCTCTGTTGTTTTATCCGTCAGACATGTTTGAAACGTTGGTTGTGTCATAGTGATTGTCCCTGCAACTAGAACTGCAAAAACAGTTGGCTTTAAGGTTGGTGCAATGAAGTATTTACCCTCTAACACATTTCTCTAGTTTTTACTTTTTCTGTCACTTATTTTTGTCATAAAACAAAAATTAATATCAGTCAAAGATGACCTGAGTAAAAACAAATGCAGGTTTTAAAGTCCTTCCATCCCCTTGGTAAATTAAGAATTCGCTGAGATGTTTTGGAGGAAGCTGAGTTGAGTTTCACAGCCTCACCCACAATTACTGCCACACCTGTAGAATCAAGAATCCACAACTCATCCAGGAGGTCTCCAAATAACCCAGAACATCTGATGCTCTGCAGGCCTCAAAGTTCACGAGTCAGCACAAAAAAAAAGAGAAAAAGGGTCTCCAAAGTGAAAACAAAAAGGCATCCTTCACAAACCACCTCCACCAAACACTACATGGCACCATACTTCCCAACAAACTGAACTCAACTATCTTTTTAAACATATAAATTGTTTTAAAGGGATCCCTGATTAGTTGTAACATTAGAATTTATTTAATAAAAATATATTTTAACTGTAAAATAAAGACTGTAAAAATACTTTGACCTATGAGCCACCCGCATCTGTCAGGGTTTGCAGGAGGAATGAACCCAGATCCGGACGGAGGATGAAGTTTTAGTAAAAAACTATTTATTTGACAAAAATAAACAAAAAGCTGGCAGGGCAGCTAAATAAACAAAAACTTAGGGAACAACAAAGAGATGATAAGGGAACCATAACAGTTGATGTGGATACCAAACAATGAACCAGTGAGGGTGTGGAGAACTGAACCAGAATAAGTACAAACAGAGGGAATGAGGAGATGAACAACAGCTGAGAAAATACTAATTGGAAACTACTGACAGGTGTGTGTGACAGAGGAGGAAATGGCAGGTGAACAACTGAGGGAAAAAGAGGCGTAATGATAACGAGGGAACACAAGAGGGAGGTATGACACAAGACAGCTAAAGCACACATCCTCACGGTACTTCCCCTCTACGTATCACACGGGAGGGAGGCGGGGGTAACAACAACAACAAAGAATGGAGGGGCAGAAACAACAACAAAGACAACATGGACTAACGAGACAAGAAAACAGACAGTGAACAAAAGAAAACAAAAAGGCAAACCAAAAACTGACAGGAAAAACCTGGGAGAAAAACAAAACAAAGAACAGTCACTAAGATGGCCCTAGGCACATCTGAAGAGGGCAGAAATTTCAGGTGGGTGCCCAGGGACCCAACACAGATGAGGCAGGGGCTCTGGAGGGCGACCATGGACCCAGCCGCGGCAAAGATGAAGCTCACGAGGGCACAGCGGAGGTGGAGATCAGGAGGGTGACCGTGGATCCGGCCGCAGCGGAGGTGGATCTCTGGTGGGTGGCCCAAAGCAGGGCCATGACGAGGATGAAGCTATGGTGGACGACCCGAGACTCGGCCACGGGGGAGATGGAGCTCAGGTGGGAGAGACCGGCGTAGAATCAGGAGCAGAGACCGGCGTAGAAACCTCTTGAGCCTCAGGCAGACCCGGGGACTTCACAATCTGACCCGGGGGCTCTGAATGCTCAGGTGCTGGTTCTGTCTCTGAAGGCTCAGATGCTGGCTCCAGCTCTGTGGGCTCTGGAGCCGTAGCAGGCGTGGACAACAACTCCACAAGAGCTGTAGTGAGGAACACTGCCACAGCAGCCAGGGTGGTGACCACCACTTCCCTCCCCTCAAGACCCTCCGCACAGGAGGTGGAAGCGTCGACCCTCTGGAGATCACAGGAAGCGGTAGAAGCGTCTGCCATCTGGGGAGCGCAGATGGAGGTGGCGGTATCGACCCTCCCGGAGGTGCTGGGAGCACAGGAGGGGGAGGCGTCAAACCTCGCTGAAGCGCAGATGGAGGTGGAGGCGTCGACCCACTTGAAGGCGCAGGAGGCTTGAGGTCTCAGTAGCCTTCTTGGAGGTGGTTCTGGAGGAGCAGGTGACTGGACACTAGAGGGTAGAAGGGCTGCACGAAGAATTCCCCAGTCATGCAGAGCCTCATCAAACAAGTCCAGCATGCCTGGGTGGGTGGCGAGGCTTGAATGCTGAACAAACTTTTTGAAAAAGGCCTCAGTCGCCACCCACCTCCTCCACAGGTCAACAACAGGGTTCCCAGCATCAATGAAGGCGCGGGTAGTCTTCCGAATACAATGTGCTTCAGAAGGGGTGAAATCCTTGGAGGCAAACATCTACAGCGCCTTTTTCAAAAAACTCAATACTCATCCTCCTGGTGGATTCTGTTGCTGACTGATTTATTCTGTCAGGATTTGCAGAAGGAATGAACCCAGATCTGGACGGAGGATGAAGTTTTAGTAAAAAATGATTTATTTAACAAAAATAAAACAAAAAGCTGGCAGGGCAGCTAAATAAACAAAAACTCAGGGAACAACAAAGAGACGATAAGGGAACCATAACAGTTGGTGGGGATAACAAACAATGAACCAGCGAGGGTGTGGAGAACTGAATCAGAAGAAATACAAGCAGAGGGAATGAGGAGATGAACAACAGCTGAGATAATACTAATTGGAAACTACTGACAGGTGTGTGTAACAGAGGAGAAAGTGGCAGGTAAACAACTGAGCACAAGAGGGAGGTATGACACAAGACAACAAAAACACACAACTGTCACATCTGATTCACGCTTCATGTCAGGAAAAGGTCAGACATGGTGGTGATAGTGTGATGGTCTGGTGCTTCAGGACCTGAACAACAGAACTAGAAGTTCTGCTCTCTACCAGAAAGTCCTGCGGGAGACGGTCCAGTTGTCAGTTTGTGGTTCTAAATGATCTTGGAGGAAGCTGACAGATTCAGCTCGGCGGAATCTGTCCACACCATTTTGCCTGATTGGAATTGCCACCTTGAGATGTACCAGCTGGAACTCTAAAGCAGATGAAAAATTGTTGTCGTCTGCCTGACTCTTCTGTTCCCAAAACAACTGATTACAGAATCTGGATCTCCCCGACAACGGCCTTGGATCTGTTGACTAAATTCTTCCTGGATGGATGTGTCGACTCGGCTCTGCCCCATACCTTTCCCCCTCCTTTCGCCTGTTAAATCTGTTTTCCAGAGCAGGCTGAAAGCTGCACAGAAATGAACAATTTTCCATCAATATTTCTGAACTATGGCTGCGCTGGTTTTGGGGACTGGATTCTTCGGGCCCCCTTAAACCCACTTACTCCTCTGGCTAATAACTTGCTCTATGCAGAGGTTTTTTTCATAAACACCATAGTGTGTCACAGTGTTGATATAATATGTTTTTACTTTTTTCCTCATCTTCCTTTCCCCTGTGTGTTTTTCAGTTTTTCTTTGTTTCTAAGTTGGCGCCATGGCAGGCAGCCTGTTACTGCAACTC